AATTATTATTCTAAATTGCATATATTATTATATATCAATATATAACTGTATATAATAATTACATATTATCATATAATATATTTTATAATATTAATATCACCTTGCAGAAATTACCAATCTTTACCTAATTTTCAGATCCTATGATTATTTTGAGTATTTGTCTATAACCCTGTAAGCTAACCTTTTAATTTCCTCTCTTCCGGTTTACTTAGAACAACTAAAATCTGACTGCCCAGATCCTCACTGAGGCTCTAGCTTGCCTTTGGATTGGCCCCTAGTTTCTGAGACATCAGTGCAAGCTGAAGCCCAGGGATTTGTTGTTATAAACGTATAAAAACCCATCATTGCATCAGGCTATGTGTGGGATTTGGGCCCTGTTTTCCTGTGGATCAGCCAGGTTTTGGACCATATCTGCTGAAATGCTTGGGTCATGCATGTCCTCATGGAAGACGTAGTCCAGGTTCTGTATAATACCCCCGAGAGCATCAAAAAACTCAAAGAGCAGTTCTATAAGACCAGAAGAGCCTATCTACTAGCCTTGGACTCTTGAAAATGCATATGCTTGGTTCAACTTCTACTTTTTTTTTCAATGCATCCTTTTATACCAACTTCTCTATTTTATTTTAGGCATCCCACTTTTAAGATGGCCGATCTAAAGGACACTTAATTGACATTTGCCAACATACCCAAGAAATGGTTCAACTGATCTTCTGGGGACATCACTGAGAAAACTGACCCTGAGGACTATTCCATTCAGTCACCGCCTACTTGAGGTTTTCTCATCACTGTGTCATTCAAGGACAGTCTCTCTAGCTTGCCTTGGATAAGAGAGGTACTGACAAGCTCAGTGGTGATCAAACTTAGCCATAACACAACATTAGGCTGGCTTGCCTAAAGCCCTAGGTCCTCAACTCTACATGGAACTTCTTCACTTTAATTTATTTGTTCCTCCTTGGACCCAGCATCCCACTTCATGTGCATAACTACAAGCCAATTTACTAGCTAGGTTTCTCTGGTAGTACAATTTGAACGCAATCTATCAAGTTTCAGATGACGTCCCCCAATACACATATATACATTAGCTCTTTTCTTTCTTTTTTCTGATGCTGGTGATTGTGCCCAGGCTTTATGCATAGCAGACAAGCTGAGCCACACCCTAGCCTCGCATCAGCCTTTTAGCGCTGCACAGGCATACCCCAGAACCTTTGCCTATAAAAGCGTTGCTTGCCTATTTCCTGCCTGCGATATTTCTGGCCTAGACTTGGAGTATATTCCCACTGCGGTAGTCTCCCTCAGTAACATTGTTCCTTGCTCAACTCCAGACTCACTTTTTAACTTTTGCTTTACAAGGCAAAAGATATCATTTGGGATTTGATTTGGAAAGGGTTAAAAAAAAATTAAACTTGTAAGAAAATTTGATTGCTTAAATAGGATATTAAATTGCTAAGAAACAAAACTTGGTACCTATATAACCCAAATGACATTAAAGTATTTCTAAAATAGGCACGGTGGCAATATCATTGAAAAATTATTATCTAGTTCTTATAATCTAGGGCATAGTAAAGCCAACACAAAAGACAGGACATCATTCCAAAGCACAGAGTGTTCATTTCTATTCTGATTCTTTAGAAGAGAAAGAAAAATCTTTTACTAGCTCTGACTAAGAGGATATCACTAATCCAAAAAAAAAAATTGTCATTTTAATAGAAAACCAAATTCTTTTCTTGCATTGGTACAATATTCAATATTAAATGTTTTCTTTTAAATCTTACAAATAATCCCATTAAAACTTAGCCAACTCTGACTACAAAAACTAGACTCCTCTTTCCCTTAAACTTGGACAACTTTACCTAGTCAAGTGTTTCCATTGACTTTCCTCTATGTCATTCTGGAACAGTCACTCATTGTACATTGGAACAGAATCACTCTTGTTTTCTTTAAAAAAAAAAATATAGAACTTATGTGCCCTCAAAACAGTGCTCCTTTCTGCCACTGTCTCTTTCTATTACGTGGAAAAATACAGGAGGGGTTAAAAAGCAAAGCTGTTTGATGGATGCCTGCTAAAATAGCAAGGTAGATCTTAATCAACCTAAACTGCCTCAGTGATATTTTTGCTAAAAGAGGGCCTAAGACCTTAACAAGAAAAAAGTGGGTTGGGGTGGAAAGTCGGGAGTTCAGTTTAGGATGTGTGAAGCTTGAGATGCTTCCAAGGACCTCACTGCCTCATCCTCCGTGGAGATGGTGAATAGGATGCAGGACACAGGAGCCTAGAGTCCAGGAGCCTTGTCTAGCTAAAGATGGAAATTTGGATGTTGATAACCTAGAGACAGACTTTAAGCCATGCACATAGAGGAAGTACCCCATGGTATGAATGGGACAGACAGGATGACCAATGACCAAAGTCTGAGGTTCAGGGATGCTAAAGGGACAGAACTAGAATTAAATGACAGTATGACAATGTCAGGCAGTGAATGCTATGAGAAGATGCAAGCAGTTTTGAGTGTATCAAACTGGCAGCTTCATTTACAGTCTTGAGTGGGTATAGAGACAAAGAGGGCTTCCTTGAAGAGGAGACCCTAGGCAAACACCCAAAAACTAAGGAAAACAGGTAAAAAGTAATAAAATAATAAAAATATAAAATAAAACAAAAAATCAACAACATAGATATCATGGATGAGGAATGAGGAACTTAATAAAATATCAATATAAAGAATGGTCATATAGGCTGGGGCTGTAGCTCAGTGGCAGAACTCTTGCCTAGCACATGTGAGGCACTGGGTTCGATCCTCAGCACCACATAAAAATACCAAAAAAAAAAAAAAAGGTATTGTGTCCATCTACATCTAAGGAAAAAAATAGAGTGGTCATATAGCCAGGCACAGTGGCACATGCCTATAATCCCAGCAGCTGGGGAGGCTGAGGCAGGAAGATTGTGAATTCAAAGCCAGACTCAGCAAAAGCAAAGCTCTAAGCAACTCAGTGAGACCCTGTGTCTAAATAAAATGCAAAATAGGGCTGGGATGTGGCTCAGTGGTTGAGTGCCCCCGAGTTCAACTTCTGGTACCCCCCCCCACAAAAAAAGTGGTCACGTATCAAGGATTCTTGATAAGTTAGCTTAACAGGGTTCTTTGCTAAAATAGGGCTGGATAGGCCAAAGTAAAAGTCTAGTCAAAAAAGTCCAAGAGAGCTTCAATGAAGTTTGGCCAAGGAGAGATGATTTTTGAGTTGATAATCATGAACTAACTTTCATATGCCATTATCTTGTAGAAGACCAGCATGACTGTGAATATATATCTCATTTGTAGTCATAAATATCCTTTCTCAATGTGGGGAAAATAAATATGTCTAATAGAGCCAAATCTATAGAGCCACTCTGTAACATAGGAAAATAAGAGGAAAAAAGTCTATAAATAGAAGCTTATACTTAGTATTTCAGAATTGTACCTTACTTAAATATGATCTAGGTATCTAATGAATATCTATTAATTAATTCAACTTAATATCAGACCAAGATGTTAATGCTACCCCCAAATCTTAGAAACTATCTTTAAACTAATATACTAGACTATTAAACATGATAAATTCCAAAATAAAGTTTTTCAAATAATAATTCAATTTGAATAAATACAAATGTACATTTTATATCCATAGAGTAACTGTAACAAAGGCTTAGTAAGCCAGCAAACCTGTATAAGCTAAATAATGACATGCTCAAAGAGATAAAAATGAGTGCTTGTATAATAATTAATACTGGTAACTCAGAAGACATGGCTTTTTATATTAAATCATCAATATAATTTTCCAAAATTTCCCTAAATTACATGAACATGAATTCTTAAAACATTTGAGTAATTATCTATAAGAATATAGTTTAGCATATTGACATCTATTTGCTTGTGGCGCACACCTGTAATCCCAGCGGCTCAGGAGGCTGAGGCAGGAGGATCACAAATTCAAAGCCAGCGTCAGCAATGGCGAGCAAAGCACTAGGCAACTCAGTGAGACCCTGTCTAAATAAAATACAAAATAGGGCTGGAGATGTGGCTCAGAGGTCGAGTGCCCTGAGTTCAATCCCTAGTACCAAAAAAGAAAAAAATAATAATTTCTTAATCCATGGAGACTTTAGGACTATTCCTTCTTTGTGGGTCTGATATTAGGGATTGAATCTAGGGTACTCTACCACTGGGCTATAACCGAGCTCTTCCATTTCTCAGTTTTGAGGCAGGGTTTCTCTAAGTTGCTGAGGCTGGCCTTGAAGTTGAGATTCTCCCAAATCACTGAAGAATATTCCATTTTCATAAGGTATTATTTAGGCTTAAGTCAATCAAAACAGAGCTCCCTTACACATTTTTATGATTTTTTTTTTTAGTAATGCTACCTGAGGTTAGGGAAATCTCCCACCGACAATAAATATATATGCGGACATGAAGAACTGAGAGCTTTACTTCTGAAATTTCAGCCACATGTCAGGCATAAAAACAAATACAATACTCACTTGCTCATTACGAGGGGCTCTTGTCGTAACAGTGGATACAAATTCTTCAAGTTTAAGGTAGGGGAAAATAGATAAGCAAACAGAAAGGAATAACCACCTCAATTTTCCGTCGTCTTTCCTCCAACACATCAATAAAACATCAATAAACTATTCAATTAATTTCCAAAGCTTACCAGATGCCCATGAAACAATCAAACAAGCAAGCAAAGTCCATCGCCAGGAATCGACAACGTATTCAAACAGAAGGAAAGCAGATCCTTAGCACGCTACCAGCCGACGGGGCCCAGCACTTGAGCTGCCAGGCAGGTATGGGGCACCAGGAGAGCTCGGCGCGCCTCTGTTACCTGGTGGAGGAGATGGAAGGCAAGGGCCCACTTCTGAGTCACGGCACCAAACTGTCAAAACAAAAACGACAAATTAGGAGAGAGGTGTTATTCTGGCCCTTGCAACAGGAAGTTTGCTCCTGAGCTGAAGATCCACCAGAGACTGAGCAGCTGAGACTGCAGGAGCCTTTTTATAGGTTCTAGGAGGGAAGCTGTAGGAGGGAAGGATGTGGCTTGAGGTCACATGTTTTTGTCTGTTTTGGATTGATTTGTATGAAAAAAAAATTATGTGGTAAACAAACCCAGAGCAGTGTACTCTGAGCTAGTCGACTATGCGACATATTTTTATCTGTTTTGGTTTGATTTGTATGGAAAAAAAATATGTGGTAAACAAACTCAGAGCAGTGTACTCTGAGCTAGTCAACTATGCGACATACTTTTGTCTGTTTTGGTTTGATTTGTATGGAAAAAAAATATGTGGTAAACAAACCC